AATTCATATTCTGTTATTATGAAAATTAAATTAACATTAAATTACACAGTTTCCTAGAAAAATCACATGTTTCTATCAAATCCGTCACTTTACCGACTGATTAATTTGAAATTTAAAACACATGGAATTTTTGTTTAATGTAGCCGTAATATTTAGTCAATGTAGTATCCAAATATGATAAAAAGTGGATTTTGCATAATTTTGAAATACAACATTGTTCTACGATCATGACGATATTTTATTTCATAACTAAAGCATATTATATGTTTTCATTCAAATATCTATATATTTGTATGACATAACACTTAACTTACTTTACTTTAGTTCTTATACAAAGTGTACTTACAGGCGACCTAATACATTTTGATGAGCGTGCTTAGCAAAACACTTAGGTTATCCGCAAACCCCAAGTCAGCTTTATAAGCACTCGGATAAGACTTGAGAAATTTAAAATTAACCTGTGCTAAACTCAAGTCAGCACATATAAAGGACCCTCACAGGTCCTTCAGCCGAGTGCGATGTCCTGCCCCACGTATTTAGCTATTGTTTTAAGTGTCCTACACTTCGTTACGCCCCTCTACTCAACTGAATTTTAAGGTCTTTTTTGTTTTCTTTATGGAGGACCCTTGTGCTAAACTGATAATGAAGGTGGGGCTAGCAAAATTTATTACTGCGAAGGTTCTCGTTGGCGTAATTGCGTCTTTACGGCGCAATCAGGACGAATGCTGTGTTTGGGTTTCGTCCTCGTGTTTTGTTGTGAGATAACATTTTCTGTATTCATTGTGTTAATTTTACCAAACAGCAAACTAATTAAATAATAAACGTCTATGAAAATATTAATTGGAAATTCTAGGATAAATGAAGCGTCAAAATACAAAAAGCAATGTTATCGAACACATCATGAATTTAGTATTATGTTATACTTATGTATATATTATAGAAGTGGAATTAATTATCTCATTTTATATTGAAAGCATACACAAGAGTAATAAACTAAAGCTTTTCTCTGACCGCCCGGCTAGTAAGGTGCAACAGAAACATTTACAAATAATTGAAAATCATTAATAAATGCGTTGTCTTACTTTATGAAATGAAAAATGAATACTACTATATAAATAAAAGATTTTAACTTGCGTTGTATGTATAGCATAGACTAAAGGTAAAAGATGAAGGAGTAGGTATGTGAAATGCGTACATTTTATGTGAAAAATAAAACACGTCTTTCCCTTTGAGCGGAGTTTCTTGATTTCAGTTCCGTATATTTCCCGTAAACATAATACACACAACGTAATTCCTCTTATTTCCCTCAATTACGGTCTTTTCAGTGAGGATTAGGGTTGCTCACTAAAAAAATACCTCACTTCTAATGTGGATTATTTGTGAATGGAGTTTAAAGTTAGAAATGGTTAAAACATTGGACTCAATATTTATTGTCAATAAAGTTATTTTGCTCCCACTACCTATTAGTTTCAAAGTATATTGTAAATATATGAATGTCTCCTCTGTCTGGTGGTTAGCATGTTTGACTGGTGATCAAGAAGTTTTGGGTTCGAACCTCGAGTGTAGCCAAATAGTCTAGTCTAGTATTATCGTCTGAAACTGCAACATCTGTTGATCCAGTTTTTTTTAACTTTATAAAATTTGTGCGGAGTTTTTAGTTGAATTGGTAGCCCTCTTTACGATCTCATGTCAAGTGTAGGTGTCTGTCGTTTGTATGTTTTATGTGGTCGGAAAGTAAATTACTGTTCATTTTCTTTGAGTGCGAGTGTGGGGTGATTTATTAGGTTACTGTGCAGGTAAAATGTGTTTGAAAAAGTTTTCATTCGCATTTAACATTAAATATTCTATATAAAATCGAAAACTTTTGAAACAGACTTTACGGTAACGTTAAATATTCCTCGGTACATAGGATTATGTCAGTTTTCAACCACCCTCGATAATACATGAATTGTTTATTATTTACATGTACATCTTGATGTATGTTAATGGTATAGTTTTAAATATGCCCACGGCTTAAGCAGCCCTTGCCTTAGTTTGACTTGATTTTACGTATTGTTTGTGATAAATGTAAAATGCTATTAAATTTAACAATTGAAATCTGAAATAAGTTATTACTTCAAAATTATTTTCTTCAAATGTGCAAATATTACTCATCAATCAGGTTATAAATATCTTAGCCTCACTAATTCACTAACATTTATCGGAAATATACTGAACACCTGGGAACCCACAGCCCGGTCTATCAAAGGAAACCGCAGAGAGTGGCTTCCCCAAACATCTTCAGAGGACTAATTGTAATACTCAACGTGTCCTACGCCTGAGACATTTCTAGACATGGTTTTACTAATACCAAAGCATACCCTACACGTTATACAGAAACATTAATTAATTACTCATTAGGTAAGTAGGATATTAAAACGAAAAGCTTCATTTATTGGTCAATGTAAAGAACAACTTTTGTTTATAATTAATTCACACATTAATGAAAAAAACCTCAGTGGCGCTACAACCTTTTCAAAATCTTAGGAGATTTCTATCTGTTTTGTGATCATTTATTTTCTTAATGGACAAGTAGGTAGTCAGCCTGCCTGACTTGATCGACTTTTTGGGTCTAAGGTCTCACTCCTCACATTTATTTCCTTCACTACACAAGCGTGTGTCATATTCGCAGACAGACAATCAAATCAATTGGTACCCAACTATGATTCGAACGTTGAGACAGTCGCACAAGCCTCTAGGCAACTCTTTACTATTAAGTGCAATCAATTTACATTTTATTATAAAAAACCTCCTGCTCACTAGGCCAGCTTTTTTGAGTTTTTTTTTTATAGAACAGGGGGCAAACGGGCAGGAGGCTCACCTGATGTTAAGTGATACCGCCGCCCATGGACACTCTCAATGCCAGAGGGCTCGCGAGTGCTTGAATATCGCCTATTTTCGGCTAAACTATAATCCGTTCTATAGGTTTTAGAGGTACCTTAACTCGACGATCGATTCAACGCACTACTGACAATTTACAACTTGTAAAATGTCTATGATATTGCGTGGTGATGCCATTCTAATAAAACAAATAACTTTGTGTTCTCTTATTCCCTCATCTCTGACATATAGTTAATCTTACCTTTTTGGTTGGAATTAAAAATAATCGTTTAATTATATATAATTTTATTTGTTTTCGTAATTATTTTATTTTTCTATATTTTAGAACCTAGCATTGTGATTCATGACTTTTAAGAATAGCTTTTGGTTTAATAATTGTGTAAGTCTTTATTGTTATAAGCAAACCGGAGGCCACTCCTTCATTTTTGTTATCTAAATGTGGTGCCAAATATGTTACGCAACAAAATATTGTATGTATGTGTGTTAATACGAGTATTTTTAAAACATTATTTACGTAGAGTCCATTGTTTTACATAGAAATATCTTATTACCAAAGTGTATAGGAGTTATCTATGTGTCTAAAGTATCGCGTGACGTCGCTCAATTCTCACGGTGGCATACTGTTTGCATTGAATTATCTTCGCTTAGTGAGCAAGTAAGTAATTCGAATTCACAAAGCTGGCTTAGTATGACATGGGAGGTATTCATTTTCGTCAAATCGCGGATTAAGAACGTTACAGGAACAAAGGTTTTCACTAATCCACAACTGCCTTAACACATTTAGGGTTGTCTACTAGTTTATTGTGAGTTATTGGATGCGAAACACTGATTAGATTACCATTGAATTACTACTTTTAATTATGTATGTACAGCTTCAAAACAAAACCTAGGCACGAAAATATTTGTATCGAAGTTTCAAAGTCTAGGAATCAGTGTGGCGAGTACTACTTTTCTATCCAGCTGCAATAATCATGAATATAGTATTCTAATTTTATAATAAACTAAACTTAGTAAAAACTTTTTCATTCCGATGTAAGTCAATAAAGAGATATAAAATATAATATAGAAATAAAAATTGCCACTTACTGTCATTTCAAATTATAATAAAGATTTTATTGTATGATGTGGGTATTTAACTGATAAAAATGGACAACCCTACTATTCGCGTAAATGCCACAGATTCTCCAGGTTTTCTTCCAGGGGGAAATTCTTCCCTCCGGCGTGTCTACGAATACTCTGGGGTAGGTGGGCTTAATTGGGAAATAATGCCGAAACGATTAATCACAATACCCCATGTTTAATTCGAGCCTGTTTCTACAAGAGAACACTTTGATGTTAATCTTAAAAACATTTAATTCCATCTACGCAGCTATTGAAAACGCTTTGTTATTCGTTGAGAGATTCACACAAATTTTTCTTAATACTGTTTCATTCAATATATGTTCAATATAATATTACGCTTTCTGTAAACTGTTGTTATTTATTTGACTATGTAGTGTCAGTATATTAGTATAGTGTCGTATCTGGAATCTATATATATATGGATATATGGAAATTTTATTCGTTTTCACAACGAACTCCCAAACGAAATTAGGGATTTATCACTAAATAAATTCAAAGCCCTCGTTAAACGTAAATTAATCAATAAAGCTTTTTATAAATTTGACGAATACTTTAATGATCCTAATCCTAGGGATTGATTTGCTCCAGTTCAAACAATTTGTATGACTCAAAACTTAGCGATTAAAAAGAGTGGCGGAAAGTTTCTTGCCAGTTCTTCTTGCCCGCTCCACGCCCTTTACTTGCGAACTGGTAGTAAATGTAAATTTACAATTAATTTTACTTCTTTTTTGACGTTCATAAGTGTACTTGTTTACCTATGTGAATAAAGTTATTTTGAGTTTTGAGATTTTTGAGTTTATCAGTGTGTCATGTCATGAAATACAAGTAATTGATTCTTATATCTATTAAAATTCTTTTATATATAATTCTTATATATTATTAGCATATAATTATCGTTAAAACAAAACTAGAAAGCGTGTTTACAATACAAAGCCTGCTATATATTTCGTACGACTACCTGTAAAACAACGTGTTTGTCGGGGATTTACTGATTTCCAATGGGACTCGGGGCTGCAGTAGACCTGAAACTGTCTCAGTTCGTTTCACTTCACGTGCGATTGGCCTATTGTTGGAAACTCGGAGGTGACTTGAAGACGGGCAGGGGTCCGACCGCACAGGATTAATCGGAATGAAAAGTTTTATTTTATGGGAATCGTATTGTTTGGAATGGTTTGAAATACAATCGTATGTATAGATGTGTTATCTTGGAAATTACTTTTGCGATCATAACTATGCAGAATGAAACCTAAACACAATTAAAAAGTATTTTTTATCAATTTAATTTCAGTTTAGAGATTGCGTGAGTATAGAATCCCTTAGGTTATATTATCCCTTCCACCTTTCTTACTCACAGTTTCACAGAGCTCTCTCTTACATAATCTTTCTTTTTAGATCACATATAGCTTATAAGAATTCTGTTAGTAAGCAATAGTTATTAAGTTCAAAGCATCCGATGTTCGCCTGTTAAAGTGTATACTATATAATCAGCGTTTATTGTTAATTTTGTCACTTCCTAGATGTCGGCTTTTGTAATGCCAACATTTTTTAAATAAATATATATTTACCCTTATTAGTGGGTGTATATGAAATACAATTAAATATACGTAATGAGTAATTAGTGTCGCTTGAAGAAATATATGTAAAAGTTATTGCGGGTTTTGACGTAAATTACATTACATAATTTGACGTTTCGAGTGTTTGTGTGTGTTTGTTTATATATATGTACTTGCCAACATAATATTGCAAATCAAATATAATTTTTTATTCATAATTTTTATTAACTACTACTAGTAACTATGAACATTAATATAAAAATGGAAACGTCTAAATTTAGAATTTCTACCAGTTCCAAAATTAAGGGCCTAGAGTAGAGCGAGCGAAAAGAACTGGCAAGAAACTCTCCGCCACTTTTAATTGCCAATTTTTCGGTTACAAGGAAATTGTGACACCATGCTTATCGTTGAGCATCATGCTTCTCAAGATATTGAAACAAATTTTAATAATAATAATATTTCCACAATTAACAGACTAAAGGATTTTGGAGTGAAATTAACAATAGCCCGATACACCTCATTTGTGTTATAATGTGTATACAAATCCTTGTTAGAACATAATTGGTAATAGGAAACCACGTCGGGTTACAATGACTACGTTATGAGGCAACGCCGCAAACCCTTTAATCCATAGCTCGCTTAATTCACTTGTCCCCTCATTTGAGAATTTGTCCACAACCCCCTAAACCTCATTGATGTCGTTTCAAACGAATATTGCAAATTCCTGTTTATTTATAAAGCAATTTTATTCGGCGATTTTGAATTGTGTTGTTATAGCTTTGTTATCTATTTAGCTGTAAGATTGGTAAATTATTATGTAATTTTACTTGTAGTAACAAAAAAATTGTTTTCGTAGCATATTGTACTTTTATATGCATTGTAGCAGTGTTGGCCTAGTGGTTTCTAAGTGCAACTCTCACCCCTGGGGTCGTACGTTCAATCCCCGGCTGTGCACCAATGAACTTTCTCTCTATGCGCGCATTTAACATTCGCTCCTGCGGTGAAGGAAAATATTATGTGGAAACCGGCATGCAATAGATCCAAAAATTCAAAGGTGTGTGTCAGGCACAGGTGACCACCTAGTTGCCTATTAGAAATCATCACGAACAGATACAGAAATCTGAGACCCAGACCTAAAAGGTGGTAGCTCCATTGATTTATGTTGTATTTAAAATACAAGTTACATGAATCTAGAATATTATTTAAGCAAAATCTAGGTTACCCTTTTAATATTCTGTTTCTGAAAATTATAAAAAAAACAGGATCTTTGAAGTAATATCGTGTTTCTAGTATTGAGCTAATCCAATAAATGTGAACTAAAATATTGATAGTTGTAAGTTTGTTGTGAAAATCAGAAGAAAATGCTTGGTTAGTCAAGACGAATGTAACGTAAAAAATAAAATTCGTTGGAAGCGAAGGGACGTCGGCTGGACGTGGTCTGCATACATAAAACGTTGTAAAAAATTCTCCTCTCCCCCATTGATTACATACCTATATCTATGTTGGAGCAGATGCCGTTTTTTATGATATTTACGCAATATTGTGGAAAATCCTCGACAATATATGAATTCGGTAAGATGATGTCTGAGATTTTATCTATCTATCTATATCCTAGTATAGGTATTTCTACGTCGCTTTCATTGATATTTATCAAGAATGGTTACAGTGCCCAACGCGGGCCAATATTTTAGTTACATACATGCCCGTCTTCTCAATACGTTTGCCTTCACCGTATGCGCACTTAGAATGAGTCTTGGTACCGTGCATTCTTTAATGAAACTTATACATATGTATCTTATTTCGACCATACAAAAAGCAGAGGCGATGAGAACTTGGAGAAACTGATCGTGGTAACACAGAAGGCGAAAGATCACGTGGCCGTTCACCAACAAGTCAAAAGACTCATCGTCCTCAAAACTGTACATTGTCATAAGAGAGGCGCTGGACAGAAACCGGTGGAAACAGATAGTACGCTCCAGGTGCTTCCTTGCTGATCACGACGCTCACACTTGAGCAGTGAGCTGCCAATTAAAGAGAGATACATATTTAATGCTGCCGTTCTTAAATACCAATACCAAGACATTGCTTGCCCGTAAACACACACAAATTAAACTTAATTAAAACTTATATTCTAAGTAAAAATGCATTTGGTACAAAGACATAAATTAGCAACAGTCTCGTCATATGGGCCCAAAACTTTGGCTCGCGTTGTTCAAGTAACTGTGTCACGTGCCTTGGAATAAATTGTTCCGAACTTAATTAAAGAGTTCTATACACCCTCCGGTATTTTATTCGCCACAAATATTCAGTATGGTATGTTAACAAGGTTCTGTTCTTAAATTTAATGTCGACAATAAAATGAAACGATATCCATGAAATTAAACAGTAGGGAAGCGTAAATTTTAAAATGTTGTTTTAATATTTCTTTTTGGCATTTTCTGTTACCATATTTAACCCGCAGGTTCTGGGTTTGAATGCTAGTGAAAGAATTATATATATAGATTTATTTATATTTATGGGATTTATTTGCTAACCTAGGAATAGATTATCATAGCTTAAACGATTTTAATGTAAGAGTTATTATTCTTAAATACATACAAAAAAAACGTTAAAGCCTTATTTTTATATAACTATTTTCTTTAACAGGATGTTCAGCTCAGAACCTGAGGATATACCCGATGCAGAAGCAGCAAACGGTGGCTGTTGGGAAGTCTGTGGTGCTAACGTGCCAGGCTGATGCGTCAGACCCCGCCCTAGTGTCACAACCGCACTGGAGGGATCCTAAAGGGCAGATTATTAATGAGGCTGCGTAAGTATATCAAGATAGACTAACTTCCAACTAGAAATTCTACTAATAAATAAAAAGTAAAAATAGCCTGTAATCTACATGCATCCAAATCTCCAAATTCTTCCACTCGCTGCCATTTTCCAATCATTCCCTGCTAACCCTTTTATTCCATCTACCCAGGTTTCTGGTGGGCATCCTCTGTATTTTTCCTACTATTTGCTTTTAATTCTCGAATAATTTAATATAATATATTTATAGACAGAAACGTACCTACCTCTTTCCTTCCAGTTCTTTGATTGCCTTTAGATAACGTCCAATTTTCCATTATATAAATAATTACAGTCAAGTAATTCCGTTGTGGGATTGTGAATAAGTGCTATTTAGATATTAGACTCAATTTTAATATCCTCTTAAACTTAAACTATATAACTTATCGTAGCTTTTAAGGCAGCGTTTGGGTTCTATCGGAAACAAGTTCGAGCCACCTAGAAACCCATACGCTATCTCCCGTGTGACAGAGAAATGGAGCTTTACGATTTACACTATACATTTGTACAGGTCTGGCACGCGACCCGAAATCTACACCGAGCCAATGCCCGCGAAACAACTTCAGCTATTATACATATCGTCAATCACGCCGGCGATGGCAGGCAATTACACTTGTGAAGCAACCTTCACCAACATGCCGCTTAGTGCTAGCGTTGTTCTGGACACTTTTGGTACGCAAATTCATTTAATTGCTTTTAGACTTAATAGAAATTAAGCCAGCTTTTGTTTAAAAGCTTAGTCTAATTAATATTTTTAGTCTTTTATTACGTGCAAGGCAGACTATACTTTTCTAGTTTTTTTTTTCGTTTTTAGTCTGGGTTCGTTTAGTCAAGTTTATCGTGTTGGAAGGCGTTGAAGCCTGAAAACGAGACTCACCGAAATGTCTGCTCCATACTCATTTAATTCAAAACAACATTTTCTGTTTTTATTTAGAAACTTTTTATTTTAGTGGCAATTACATGGACAAATGCGAATGAAAATCAGTATGCGACGAAAGGAAAAGACTTCAAAGTAATGTGCGAAGTGACTGCCGAGCCCGCACCTTCAGTGGATTGGTTTAAGGAAGGCACTCCTGTATGTATTATTATTATTAATATAATATTTAATGTAACTTGGTTTGGATTATTATTATTAGTATTATGACCTATTTCAAATAGCAGCTCATTGCAGCATAGACTCAAACACAACTTTCATGTTATTCCAAATTCAAATTGTCAATCTACTGTATGTTAAATATTCACACACATAGACAATGATCCTTTGAAGGATTTAGTGGGCTTACGCAGGTCAAACATGTGGAAGCCTCAGGACTAATAATCCAATTTGAACGTTACGGGATGCCATACATGTTATAAATGAATAACAATGGTGACTGTTTAATCATTTTTCTTACGTGAAATTGAACAAAATTAGTTTTCATAATCCTAGGTCTGCCCAGACATCTCTGTGTGTTTTTAAATATCTAATATTGGTTTTCTCTTATATAATATATTGTAGATTTAATTCCGGAACTAAAGGTTATCGTAGTAATATCAGTTAGCCGAAATATTTTTTTTATTCTATTTTATTCCTTAAGAGTTACAGTTAAAATTGAACAAGTATTAATATAATTGAATGTTTTAGATTTTGACTGGTGATCGATACGTCATTGATGTCAACGGTCTATTAATTAAAAGTATTGAGGAAAGTGACGACGGAACATATACATGCAGGGCTGTTGTCATTCAAACTGGAGAACTAGCTGAAAGGAATATTAAACTCGAGGTATGGATTAAATGTGTAAAATTACATACCATTGGCACTACAACCCTTTTTAATCTTGGCATCGGATTTCTGCATCTGTTTTATGAATCATTGTATTTAGGAATGATTTTTTTTTAGGAAAATAGGTGTTTTGTGTGTTGAATTTTTGGTTACCATAGTGTTTATCTCCACCGTAAGAGCAAGTGTCATAAGGGTACATATAATAAATAATGCATTTGGATAAAGCCGAGTTTCGAACACGTACATCTGCCTTTAAAACGCAAGTCCAAACACTAGACTGACACTTGCCATAGTGTTGATACTGATAATTAGTAGTGTTTTTAATTCCATATTATGGTCTTTATCGCTAGGCTTTATAATACATCAATAAAAGACACATGCGTAACCTAAACAATTCAACAATCTTCAATTTAAATTTGAAGAATTGAAACGTATTTAAAAATAAAATTAACTTTAAACACTTTTGCTAGGTATACACAGCTCCAGAAATGGAAGAAAGAGAAACAAGAGTGGTCATTAAAGAAGGAGAGTCTGCGTCAATCACCTGCAAAGCAAGAGGAAAGCCACCACCAACGTATTCTTGGATTAAAGCTTCAACACGAGAGGTAAAACGTTTTTTACAATCTTATGAGAGTTCTATAATCATTTCTATTTATTAGGTAAATCAACAAGGCAATCATGTAGCTATAGATTTTAAACAGGTTTTTGCTTTATCTGTAGGTATGTAAATGATTAAGCATGAACTACTACAATTTATTTGGAATTTGTACACATTTGGTTTAATTAATAAAATTGAACGGTTAAATTATGTTAAGCGGTTGTATTGCAGGCAGCGAATGGTAAATAGATAAATATAATGTAAGTTTGGAAAAACTATTTTTTTCCAGAATTTGGGAACTGCCTCTCGGTTCAGCGTGAACGAAATTAAAGGTCTACTTACATTTGACCGCGTAGAGGCTGGTGACTACGGCAAATATATTTGCAGTGCTGTCAATCAGGCGGGTCATAACGAGACGGAAATCGAAGTAGAGGTTTTAGTTCCACCAAAAATATTTGAACTATATAACACAACGGCTGCAGAGAAAACCGAAGGCAGATTAGAATGTAAAGCCTCAGGTAGACCTGCACCAAGGATTAGCTTTAGGAAATTGAGCAGCTCTGAGCGGCTTCTAAATGGTCCTAACGATGATGGAAGGTAATTATTATTTATTTTCTAGTTTGTTCCCTATTTTTAACTTTAAAATCTCGATGTTGTAGAGACCCTAAAATTTGTTGTCTCTGTATATTATTGAAATGATGTTCATTGATAATTAACATAAAGTTTACTATAGAGGTTGTATGATGCATTGGCTGTAGTAGCTGTAGCTTATAGTAGTAATAACCATAACATTTAATTATACAAAATAAATACTAGAATACAAAATAAAATACATAGGAAAAATCTGTTCATTTCACTGACACTTGGAGAAAACTATTATTTTCTTCTTTAATATAGATCTTACAGTATCAAATATTTTGTTTGACAGTTTTACCAGTGCTCTTACATATATAAATCTCTTTAATTATAGTTGACCATGCAGCTGTCCTTTTGAAGTTATCTATCGGTATTATTGTCAATGATTATGATACTTATATTTATATTGGTCTATTTTGTTTTTAGGATCATAATTGAAACCAGTAATCGCCAAACGGGTGACCAGATGCAGTCAAGTGCGGTGATTACTATTACGTCTTTGAATAGAACGGACGATGGCTTATATGAATGTGTCGCTGAAAACGAAGGTAAAAAAGAGATTGACATCACGAAACTAATGATTTTATTTTCTGATTCTATCTCTAAACTGGTCTAATAAGTAGATATATTTTTGTCTGTGGATGGATATATGGTATTTAAAGGCATTAAATTCTTTTGCATTGTTGTATGACTGTATTAAATTTAAATTGTATATGGTTGTACTGAAATAACGGATTGTCCGAGGACTTTGAGGTATATGTATAGTGTTTTCAGGGGGTGAAGCAAGAAAGAACGGACATTTAACTGTTCAATTTAAGCCAACATTTGAACATATGACGAATGTACCGATATGGAGTTGGAATTCACAACCTGTGAACATCAGTTGCATCGCCGAAAGTATTCCCAACGCAACTATCAAATGGAAGTAAGTTTTTTTAACGTTTTCATTTTTGCTTTCTAAGAACTTTTCCTTTAAGCCAGGTGCACAAATATATAGCGTAGTTAAGTTTCATTAATAGTTATTATGTACGTAGTTGGTTAGTTAACTTTATATTAACTTTGAAGAAATGATTGTGTATAGCTTGCTAGCCAGTGGACTGTGAGATGTATATGATGAGATGTAATAGGTGACAGAAGTATTTGTATAGTATATGTAGTGTATGTATTAGCAAGCTAAACTAGATAACTAATTATATGAGAGAGTGAGACCTAAGAACCTAAAACACACAATAGATTGCAAAAAGATTGAATACAAATTTGTAAAGTTTAATAAAAAATAATGTATAAAAATCAAGCTTTTAGTATTTACTTTAGTTATTTGTATAAAATTACTTTCTAGTTGGTATAGCAAAAGATGTTAAATTTGACATAATATTTCTAGGTTCCACGATGTCGATCTAATCGAGTCTCCACAAGTGAGAATATACGGATCGGGACCCATTAGCTACGTCACAGTCACGCCCACCGATAGAAGCCTTTATGGCGTTTACAAATGTATAGCGACCAACACATTGGGAGAGGCCGAACATATCAATCAATTAAGAGAAGCTTTCCCTCCAGGCACTGTTACTCAAGTAAGATTATTCATGCAACTGTCTATAATTATAAAGCAATCAAAAATTATTTAATAGAATTTCCATTTAAATAATTCGATTTTAAAAGGTACTTGTTACATCATAATATTTGATTTTTCTTTGAGAGTATTTTGTATTAAGAGGCTAATTCACCAATTAAGGGGAATTTGAATTAAAGAGCTTGCCCCGTAGTGACTGATGGCTTTGAAATTGATAATATTTGTGTTAAGAAAAATATTATAATAATTGCAAAAGATATAAAAATATTGTTAAAACGAAAGGTTCTTTAAACTAATACATTAAATCGTTTATTAAAACCTTAATAAAAATTATAAATTATTACAGGCTAAACAAGAGACTATCACAGCCACTTCCGTATCATTCAGCATAGTTGGGCCACCCGAAGAGATGGGCCCTCCGATCCTAGCATACACAACTCAATACAAGGAAAACGGCAACTACGATTGGAATTTAGCTATGAATAGAACGTGGTCTGCTAACTCCCCTTACATCGTTGAGAACTTGAGACCTATGTACTCCTATGACTTTAGATTTGCGGCAGTAAATCGAGTTGGCGTTGGAAGTTGGGGCGCTCCAATCACTGTTATTATGCCTAGGAGGTTTGTGTTGTACGGAGGATAAATTGATCCTTGAATGCAAATTCATATTTCATCACTATGTAATCATTACAGGTCTCCTCCAGAACAACCTAAGTGGAGAGAAGCAGTGAGTTCTGAATCGCTGATTCATGGAAAGTTTGCCGATAGATACGAATTGCAATGGAAAGTTCCTGCTCACAACGGTGAACCGATCGATATGTATGAAATAAGCTATTGTCCAGTAAGTGTGCTACTATCTTTTTAACAAAATATACTGTAATTTACTTTTAATACTTTTTCGAAATCGAGCGTCAAATTCGTTTACTTTTTAGGTCATGAAAGTTAGCGGTGAATGGCGCATATCAGGAGAATCGGATTGTTTGACGGAAGAGTTAAAGTCATACGAAGCTATTAACTACGAAGTCCGAGGTCTTCAGCCAGACACTAGATACAGAATGCACGTCAGAGCTCACAATATACTGGGCTACTCCTTGCCAGCCCAGCTCTACGTACAGACGGCCCTCGGTGAGTACCAAGATAACGAAATCCCCCATCGAGCTGGTTTCTACGATGTTTATACCGCACCCGATCCGAACACTTCTGCGGCGTCCACCTTCACCTGTTACGTTTCAGTTTTATTTGTCACTCTAGTTAGTGTTTTGTGAGATGTGAACATTTTCATTTTCGCTTTCATCTAGTAGATAGTTTTACTCCTGTAATTCTGGCTAAGTTTATTGAGTACAATGTTGGAATAAGTTTGAATAAGTATTGTTATTTCTGATTCATTTTTGTATATTTTAGTTTTAAGTTTTATTCTATAACAATTGTTTGACATCTTCATCTTGCCTTAGCTTACCTGAATGCAATATTTGTGACAGTGATTTAGGAATCGTATTTTAATTTCTTATAATTTAAACTATCATTTATATTATTGTAAAACGTAAATACTTTTGAGCTTGTGTTAATTTTCTCTAACTCACCATACGCATGGGGTTCAACTAAAACGTTTTATTTGAATTTAACCATCCCATATCCATTGTGTTTGTTTAAAACGAAGTAGATATTTCTTTATTGGTAAGTTTCATTTTTATATTTAGAATATTATTTCAACGAATTGTTTTCAATTAGTTTTTGGTCCTCGCTGTTCAAATGTATTTATCGTATTAATATTTTTTAGGTAATCCCAATGGAAGTCCACGCAATTTCCAATGGGCTCACAGTATAATGGATACTCTTTTTGCAATATTAGTAATAAATCTGTATTGAGAGATTTTAAACTAGTGAAAATTTAAATGAGTCCAAAGATGACTGTTATTTAGATTTTTGTGATAAATTGATTTATTAAGTGTAAAATAGCTTTATAGATCTACTGTCTAATGTTTTGAACGAATCGTCATTAAATGATACGATATGTGTTTACTAAAACGTATGCTTTAACAACTATTGGATGTGTTTCTTTTGATATATTAAATGAATTATACTAAAGTTATCGAAGGGATAATTATTCTAAATTTGTGTAGAGTAGATAGTTAATGGATAATAAATAATGCACTGCCGATTGCTATCAGTATTTACGTTTCTAAAATTGATACCTACTTAAAATTTTGCATGTTGTAGGGTAAGTAATAATGTACGAATTTTCGATGACTATTGTATTCCTTTTAATAAGTCTTAGATAATCTGAATAAGTATTCGTCCATCTCAATTATGTGTGAAAATGAACAGCGGCTTAGATAGGTTGAATTCAGCGGTGAAGGACATGGTTATGATGCAAACTGGAAATGACCAATGTGCAAAGAATAAATGTTTCCAAAATAAATGTTATACATATTTTTATTTTCAATGAAAATGAATGAAATGATGATAATAAATCCATTAATTCGTTCATTTTTGTTGCGTTTGCGACATCCCAAAGCGAGTAAAATTCCCAGCTAAAAGCTGTCAAGATGCTCAAGATAAAATTACCCCTTGAATATTGTTCGATTGCAAAGTGTGTTTGTGGCCCTGACTGATGAATGGGTAAATATATTTTGTATTCATATTAATATAGTTAATATTTGCTATACAATTTATTTTGGAATGTACTAATTATCCTTCATATGTGTATTGCATGAACATGCTATTAAATTCACTTTCTTGATATCTTTCCGAAACGGCATAGCATGTACCTTCCTAACCAGCATAAAAGGTATCTTCTCTAGGATTATAATTATATAGAAATTTATTTGATTAGTCTCTCACTAGATTAGTCGTTTAGATTGTGTTAATTTAGAGTTTATTTTAGTATTTTATATCTGATCAGATTATACAGGTTAGCATGAGTGAAATAATTGAAATTATTTATGTGGTTTTTAGGTATTCGGAATTTAACTGATCGATCTTAGAGTTCTTTTTCGTTGTTTAATATTTGTAGTTTGTAACTTTTGGTGTTAATGTTAATAATTAAACTACAAATATTGAATTCAAGTATAATTATTTATCTAGTTTAAAACAATTTAACTTATTGTGGTGATGGAATAGAAAAGTGTATTTATTTTATGAATTAAGTAGTAAGATTCGCTTATAGACTCGACAGAATTGTCATGGGGTTTGAAACTTTATTTTGCGTCAAGTTCTATGGAATGTTTGCATCTTGACAACTTTTCTTTCTCGTTGTTTAATTAGGGTTCTATTTTATGCATCATTATCTTCTGCTGTCATCATCAGTTAGGTTAATTCAAACCCCATTTCATCACACGGAGAGCTTTCTCTTTCAAAAATTATAGACTTTGTTTGTCAATTCGGTGATTGGGTGCACGTTGTCTACTTCGAAAGCACTCTGTTTAGACTTGACTGTAACCAATAAATTTTTAACATCACATTTGTTACAGTCATTTTAATATCACATAACATCATCAGCTTACTTGATATGATGCATAAAACTAACAATTGAGTACAGTAAAGTCTTTGGTTTTGATAAATTTAATTATTTAAAAAGTTTATAATAGACTTTGCTGTCTCTGTTCCCTTCCTGTACGATAGTAAGTCTAAAATGATTATATTTTAACAGGTGTCGAACGCTCAGGATTTGCACCACCGCAACTGCTTTCAAGCGGAGCCATAGTTGGAATAGCGCTGGCCGGTGTCCTGATCTGCCTTCTCATAGTGGATCTCCTTCTCTTCTGCTTCCGAAGGCAAGGTGTCATTGCAACGATCTGTGGTAAACGCGTTAAGACACACAAGGATGACGAAACAAAATTAGGAAGGTAATACATTTTTAATGTTTTAAATTTCATTAATTTGATCATTTTTATCAGTATCATCGACATGTGCTCCTTTTTTGTTACCCTTTCTCCTTCCTTGAACTGTTTTATTATTTGTCTTTCGTCCTGGTTCCCCTCTTCATAAGTGTTAGTGTCGATGAGAGATGTTTCTGCCCGCTAGTCTGTACGGTTGGCGCTTCCCGCTCCCTTATTGCAGCACGAAGCCGCGAGCCCCGCCCTCCCCCGCGCCGCTGCCGCCTCCGGTCAAGCTCGTGCCGACACCAACGTAAGGCGCTCACAATTGCATGCTTTCTCTGTGCGATTGCTACACGGATGACACAAGTCTTGATTAATCTATTTTATGGGGCATTGTACAGTTTCAGCGCCAGCTTAGCGTTTTGCATTTGTAATTTAAACCATTAGTCGCAAGTGTAAATTTTTGCTAGTTTGGTAGACATGTAGATGTTATTACAAAATCGTTGAACTAGATAATAACTTTTAAAAGTAACCTCTAGTTGGAGTTTGCTTGGAACATCTCTTACGACAATGTTTGTGTTTTTTGCTTTTGATTTCTCATAGTTTATTTTGACGATGTTGTTTATCTCGCCATTTCATTGACAGTCAATTCACATTCCTAATTTTCTGATTATCAATGAAAATACTATATACAAATAATATGAATCGATGATTCTAATAAATTATATTTTCATGTCCTTCACGCTGCTATTTGGTCACTCGTAGTTATATTCCAACGACACCAGTGTAAGATATATTCTATTTTGTATTAACTAAAGCACTTTTGTTGGCATTTGTTTTGCAAAGCTAACTTGCGTATAAATATGCTTATTTGTTATGTTAACATTAAGTTTCAGGTGTAGTCGTGTGGTTTGCGTTTCTTAAGCTTTGTACAAGATTGTATAGTAATATAGTGTACATTTGCTTTTTTAGTTCTGGTGCTCACCGTAATTAGAAATATTGTATATAGACTAATATTAATACTAAAATACAAATTCACTTAAATTATTTTCATTCTTAGGGATGAAAAGGAGCCGCTGAAGGAGACAGGCGATGATGCTATCAAAAGGAATTCTTCGGTAGAGTTTGACGGCCGCAGAGTTTACGCTACAAGTGGAGGACCTATTATTGGGAAAAACTCGGCGGTTTAAAAACGTACTATTCGTCAATGGGTAGCTATTTTGTTGTACTAAATCAAATATTTCCAGCGCTTAGGGCGTGAAACTTGCCTGAAATTAAACACAATTTTATACTTTACACAACTGCACTGAGAGTTCGTAACTTTCTTAACTTAAGCTTATTATTATACTACTTACGTATTCGTGCGTTTTGACAGCACGCAATACAATATTAATATACATATTTCAGATGCGTTAAAGATAAAATTTGTTTTTGATATTGGTACAACATTATGGTTTGGATATGGACACTGATATTGTTAGAGGGATGCTTGTGTATTTGTGATGAGCGCGACCAGTATTTATAACTGACAAAAGACGAATTATTGTATTTGTCGTGGAAGCTTTTTGATTTTGTTACAATTATGAGATTAGGCACTGACATTTGATAATCCTAGGAGGATATTTTTCTACTTTTAATACTCTAACACGTAATAAACAGATTTAGACACGATTTTATATAATTATTTTGTACTTATTAAATCGCTTCAAAGGTACAAAATGGGCCTTTTAGGGTATTGTACCTACATAAGGTAATTTGAAGATCGGATCATATGTAAATAATTATAAGTCTTAGAACGTAAGTTTTTTTTAAATGTTTGGCTATGCTGAAATATGTAATCTTTATACCAGTGATCTTTTATAATTTATTTAATCCCTAGAGGGTTAATCACAATATATATTTATAAGTCATGCATTTAATGTACTTTAAGATGTGTAAATATTTAGTAATAGTGTTATGTAAATATTATGTAAACACACACCGTTAAATCTTTAATTTTTCAATAGGATCGTTTCCCAATTATCTAAGATATAGAAATGGGTATTAATTGTCTTAAACATGTTTTGTTAAGTAAGTATTTTTAATGTCACTTTTCATTCTTCATAATTATTATAAATAGGACGAATTAATTTTAAACTCACCATAATGTTAATAAAATCTTAGTTATAAAATTGCTCTCTTTGACATAAATCAGTAGGCTTAAAAGTATTATGCTAAGTTTTAGTATCTGGCGCGCTTTAGCTGTGTCTAATCATTTCTGAAGTAACGCGAAAAACAAGTTCAACGACACCTGGAATCAGATTGAAGTGTATAATCACATACGTATATATGTGGCGTAAAGTATTTTTCAATTTTGGTATTTAATAATAATTCTGACATTGAATGATTTTTACAATAAATCAATTCTTCGATATCGCTTTTATATGTAATGCTCACTATATTCCATATGCCATGTTTAAACCTCTTTGCTTTTCGCCAAATTTATTGGTTAATTATTATTTTTAAAAAGGTTGCTATTGTCTTGTATCTCTTCAGTCCGTAGCCCATGTCTGAGCGTTGTGGTCAGCAAGGAAACATCTGGACAAACTGTTTCCACCGGTTTGTGTCCAGCGCCTCTCTTATATAGTTTTGAGGTCGATGAGTCTTTTACTTGATAAGTCCATCTGGTTGGCGAACGGCCACGTTTTCTGCCTTCTGTTTTACCAACCACGATCAGTTTCTCAAAGTTCTCATCGTATATACGCATTGTCTCGTACACTTGGAAGGAAATATAACTCTGCCTTTTGCGGTCTTTATTAGGTACTACTCAAATAATGATTTCTGGTTCATACATTACTTAGTCACTATAAGTTATTTTTATAACAATACTATGTATTGTCAGCTCTTAGCATATACGAATATATTTATAACAGCAGGCGCCGTTGCAATTTACTTCAAAATATAGTATTGTATTATTATAGATTATGAAATATCACGTAATTTGTCTGCATTGGTCAACGTTGATCAGGTTATCGCTATCTGTGGTAAGATCGCGTCACTTTATCTATGCACCTGTACTAAACGATAAACTCGCGGTAAGGTGCCGAGATAAAGTGATCGAGGTGTAGGTATCTAATATATTACAAAAATATGGAGCTTTTAAAATTTAAATGTATTGTCTTCAGAAACGTCAAACAAATGGAAGGGCTACTAAAATTAGACAGTTCGATTGCTAAGCGTAGTGTTGATATTAAGTAGCTCTTATATTTGAGTGACCTTATGTTGGGCTTATCAAGGGCTTCATAGTAACTAAGATTTGTGTAAGCGGCTTTTTGTAAGACGTTATACGTGAAGCATTTTTATAAAATAAATGTATTTCAAACTGATCTCTGCTTTTATTTAGATGGAAATTGATAGCATTAAGCCTCATACTGCATCCAAATAATGGGCTATGGGCCGTCTATAATTTAAATAGTTACACTACTATAGTTAACACCACAGTTTTAACTCTAAGCATACAGTGAGCCCACCATCACGGGCTACGAACATCTCCAAACTCAGTCTCTCTACATATATATCAAAAACTATAGCGACTTGCGCGAGGGTTGACCCTTTTTATGTAATAGGAGGCTCACCTGACGCAAGTGCGTTGCCGGCCTTTTAAGAATTGGTACACTCTTTTTATACTTCGTCGAAAATACTTCAGTTCGCAGCTGGTTCCACTCAGTGGTGGGATGTGGAACGACGTACGTCGAGGTGATAGTATTTTGTATTCTGTCTTGATGTCAACTTAAAATGTTCAAGGATACAGTATTTTGCCATCACCATGATACAGGGTTGACTATTATTGGTCTGAGGTAGGTTATATATACCTTTACGCTACGCAATATAAATTCGTTAATGTTTCGTGCATTCATTTTTATTAACCACGATACTTAGGGAAGGGTAGAAAAGCTTAATTTATCCTTGTTAGTGATACAAAGCGAGACATCACAATGCACGCTTTTTAATCGCGGCTCCTATTACATTGTAATCTGCACTAAGGGTTGCGCGTGAGCAGACGGGACCCGTATTTGTAGCAATATCCTAAATGTTACACAACACTTACCGACTTTAAAGTTTAGTGATGTAGAATTTATACTATCGATAACTTTAACATTTAGTAGCGAAAAAGTCGGTTTCCTCTGTCACCCAAAAGCAGGCCAAGATGCCGATGCTAATACCTACCTAGTACTTCTTTAAAAATCGTGATAAAATGTAATTTATATTTAAAATAAATAATTATAACTTTCACCTTTTACCGATAATCGTATTAAGTGCAATTCTTTTGTCTCAAAGAGAAAGTTTGATTACTATCGGCGGACCAAAGAGCATTCTAAAAATGTTAATAACATAAACGGAATTAGTTTATTACGCCTTGAATTATAAACGGAATTGGTCTAATTACACAATAATAACTACGCTACTATTGTCGTTTTTCACAACTGTATCACCCACAATTCAAAAGAAAGAGGCGAACAAGTACTTTTACTAAGGGAGATATAATTAGACTGATTATGAAAAAGGATTACTGTACGTTACAAATCGTTTTTTTTTTAAATATACCTGCATTGTTACAAGTAATGAATTGATTAGTAGAATATAAACGGCTGCCAAATTCCTGGGCGGTATATTTAGGTCGTGTAATCTTTTGAACGAATCGATATTTATTCATTATGTAATTGTTCGGGGTTCAGAAGGGGCCTTGAAATTAATACGATAGAAAGTCAAGTGTATATTATACATATTTATTGGTTTTATACACAACTGCATTATATGTAAAAGACTACAGGGATGGAGTATTTATAATTGAAACAAAAGGTAAACAATGTATACAATTAAGACTAAAACAAAGTAGTAATTAAATCTCCTCTATTGTATATCAATTTATTAACTTACAAATATGTATAGGAATATTACAATATTATCGATACATTGCAAAGTCAACACTATTATGCGTCACGCGTAACGCTGCTATAGTTCATCGTTGCGGTTTAATACATTTGAGGTTCACACAATGACACACCCCGCTGAAGATAATTTATGTATTGTCCTTAACTATAGGGGCACTGTGATATATCTAGTAAGATAAATGGACGTGCTTAAACAATTTGCCAACGCAGATTTTGTTTTCTTTCCATGGATTGACAGTGCAATAGACGAATAATAAACTACGTTTATTTAATCTCAGCTAAAAAGCAGTGTGGGTCTAGTGACTTCAGCGTGCCACTCTCATCCCTGAAGTCGTAAGTTCGAACCCCGGCTGTGCAATCGCTCGAACGGTGAAGGAAAACATCTTGAGGAAACCGGATTGCTTTAGACACAAAAAGACGTGTGTCAGGAGGCTGATCGCCTACTTGGACTCTGACGCCCAGAACTAAAATGGTTGTAGCGCCACTAATTTATTTTAATTTTATTTTTATATATCGTATAAATAAAATATTCAGTAGGGTTAACATCTGAACCCATCGCAATAGTTGTAGATAGTGTTGTCTACTTATCTGCTGTATATTAGTTTAATGATCATTTTAAACTCTATTCTTTAAAAACCCCGTGAAATTAACAAACGTAATACTTTTAGAACATTCGCAACTGATAGTCACCCCACATTAAGTTGTTATTGGTTATCGAGCGCAACAATTAGGGCAGGCCACGCGCAGAAGCTTACTTCCCTTCAAATAATTACCTCGGTAGCAGATGATACGGATTACTTATAAAAGTAAAATGTGGCTCTTATTGAAATTTGCTAAGCCGAAATTAGTTGTTGCATGTTTATGATTTGTTTACGAAATATTTTATGAAATGAGGAAGACTTTAAGTTAAATTCGCAAATTAGATACGACTCTGAACCCTTTTAACAGTCGTTCGTACGGTAAGACAAGACTTGGTGAGGAAACCAGTATTTTATTTAACCACTTTAGAGCTTTAGACCCAAAAAACGACGAGTATGTCAAACAAAAGCTTTATTTTCACCTAAAAGTTAAACCTTTATACGTAAATATAACATCGTTATACATAACTCGACGATTGGAGTGCTTTGCTGCTTCGCGTTTTATTTTCCGTTTTTATCATGATCGTGTAATGTAGCATGCGTTATACAGTATATTTTATTTATTTATTGAAGTTTACCAAATCATACATAATACTATATTTACAGTATATGTTACAAGCT